TTCATTGTTGACAGAAACGCACTCAAAATCTCCAATTAATTCACTTTTTTTTGCAAGGAAGCCAAATGGATTGCATTGACTTCCTGTTTACAAAAAGGGAATAACAAATTCCAGACAGTTTATCATCTGGTTCATCTATTCTTTACTTTTTTTCCTCTCAATCTTACTATATAATGAAGAAATGTAGAAGGAAAATGTTCTTATTCACCTCGAATTGGTCTCTGCACAAGTGAAGAAATGGGAACCAAATACACTAACAATCTTTCATTGTTTCCCAGTCTCCCTTTTTTGAGTGGAATGATGATAATTCATTAGAACATCCATCTTGGGGAAGAATGAGCAGCAGCAGTGCTTTGCCTTGGTTTGCTAACTTGTTCCGAGCTGTTTCGCTTCTTCATGATCGAGGAGACCGTCGGGCTGTAGTAGTCATTGCTCCGGTAAGATCCAGCCCCTTGAGAATACATCTTCCTTCCATTTCTGAAACTTCTTTGATTCTCTAGGATTGTTTGACGAGCCATGGGATTTCTTTGGACTGATCCCCATCTGTTGTAGTTTACACAACTCTGACTCCTTCCAACCTGCTGAAACTTACCTTCTCTAGGACTCGTATAGTTTCGACTCTCTGCAGTTTCTGCAGAGTACATTGTTGTCTCTCCCTCGCTGCTATACCCGTTATGCATCGCTGAAACTTCCTCGGGAGATGAACAAGACTGAACTTCACTTAAGGCCCCGTTTACAGAATTGGTTGAGGCAACCTCTTCTCTGTTTTCGATTGGATCGACGAGTTGTCTCTCCATGCTTGGGTATTGTCTCCATTGGTTGTGTTGAGAAACATCCTTTGTGGAATTTTCATTAGAGCCAAGTGGGTTTTGTCTGGCAGGTTGACCCGTAATCACAGCCATGGATACTCTCGGAGGAAAGTTGATATCCCGTAGCTGCATTGGCGCGCTTTCCTTTTTTCGAAGAGGAACTGCTATCAACTTTGGCGATTCATATATTTCAGGTGTAGGAATTCCTTGCACATGGTTTAGGTGTAGGTTATTCATCGGAGCCTCTTCCTCGATCGTGTTTGTCGTAGTGGAATAGCTCGGTCCGGGCAGTTCTTCCCTCGTTTCCTCATCATTCGCTTCCATCGGCTTAAAAACTTGCCTCAATGTAAAGGAAGAAGAATGCTCACTCTTTTGTCCTGAAGACATCAATCTTATGAGTTGTGGCTTTGGTTTGTTAAGTTCCTCAAGACTACCTTCCCAATGTTGGTTTAACCAACCACAAATGATGGGCAGAGGAATCCCAAATTGCATAGGAAGATCCTTCTTACAAGACGACGAAGACGACGAAGAAGTCGATGATGATTTGGTATTCGGAGACGTGGCTAGTTTCATAGGATCACATACCATGAATGCAAGGTTACCTTGTGCATCAAACCCAGCAGACCCGGGACTACACGTTACCCCATCGGTCGATAATTTTATAAGGTTATCAGTAGCTATAGCCACCTTGCCCTCACTAATGATAAGTTCATCTTTGTCAGAAAATCCTAAGAGGTAAACAGCATTGCCAAGATCAAGATTTGGTTTAGAACATATCTTTAAGTGCTGAAGCTGCTGCTGAGAGTGGGAGTCTCCTTCCACTGCATCTAAGCCCACTATTGTAAGATCCAAAATGGAACTTGTAATGAAGAACCTGCAATCAAAGTTAAGTGTTGGATGAAATGATTCACATAATGCGTACAGTTCATAATGCCACCCAAAGGTCAGTTTCCAAGGACAACAAAGGGCTTTAAATTTTACGTTTTCCACCCCGAGCGCTAGAAGACAAGTGTATATAATGACAAAGAACATAGGGTACTATAGCGTAATGACCCAAGTCTATCGCTGGTAGATATTGTCCGTTTTAGCCCGTTACGTATCACTGTTAGCCTCATAGCTTTAAAACGCGTCTATTAAAGAGAGGTTTCTACACCCTTGTAAGGAATGCTTTGTTCCTCTCTCCAACCAATGTGGGATCTCACAATTCACCTCCTTTGGGGACTCAACGTTCTCGTTGGCACACCCCCCAGTGCCTGGTTCTAATATCAAAAGCTGATTGCTAGCAGATATTGTCTGCTTTGGCTCGTTATGTATTTCTGTTAACCTCACGGTTATAAAACGCACCTATTAGGGAAACGTTTTGTAACGTCTCAAGCCCACCCTTAGCAGATATTGTCCTCTTTGGGTTTTCCCTTTTGGGCTTCCCCTCAAGGTTTTTAAAACGCGTATGCTAGGAAGAGATTTCCACACCCTTATAAAGGCTGTTTCGTTCTTCTCTCCAACTGATATGGGATCTCACAATTCACCCCCTTCGCGATCTAGCGTCCTTGCTGGCACATCGCCTCGTGTCCAGCCTCCTCACTAGCACATCGCCCGGTGTGTGACTCTGATACCATTTATAACAGCTCAAGCCCACTACTAGCAAATATCATCTACTTTGGCCCATTACGTATCATCCTCTGCCTCACGGTTTTAAAACATGTCTATTAGGGAGAGCTTTCTACACCCTTATAAGGAATGCTTCATTCTCCTCTCCAACCGACGTGGGATCTCACATAAGTAATAAACAGGTAATACATTGCTCACATCTAAGGATAGTTTTACCTCAAACTCCGATCGGATCGAATATCATAAGAAAAAAAGCAAGTGCAGAAACATAACTCTTCTCCAAACAAGGTTATGCAACAATTGAAAAATTGAAATATATAACCTACAAACAGAAGAGAAAAAAGAAAGGAGAACACTCATAGATTTGATGGTATCAGCAATCAGTTTGCTCACAACTAAGAGTTTCGGTAAAAGATTAGAATGGAACGGAATAAAAGAATCAATAGAAAAGGTCAGCTCGGATGTTCTCCCCTACGCCACCGAACATTAAAAACCAACTTGCTCGATGAATCACTCGAGCCCAGATACATTTTCGGTGCCATAGAGCTAGACCAGTAGTGAGTTAACACTTAAAATCAAACTATAAATTTGCACACAGTTACTTCAGCCATCAATTTCCATATCCCAACTATTTCCACCAAACAAAACAAGAACTAAACGCAAAAGCACAAAACAGCAAGCAGAATACTCCAAAACAATCCCAAAATAAACAAACAAACAAACAAATAAAAGAACCCCAAAAGAAAAAAGAAAAAAAGTCACCTGTGAGGAACGAGAGTGGCGGCGGCGCCGTTTTGGAGGCGGATCTCGCAACTCTCAGCAGCAGAAACGGAGGGAAGATTAACATGGGTGGTCAAAAGAAGGCTCCGGTGGATCAAAAAAGCAGTGCCGGAGGAGGAGGCCCCATTAGAAGAAGAAGAAGAAGAAGCGGCGGAGATTCGCGCCATTGCAGGACCTTTGCCGGAAAAAATGGCAGCCTTGGTTCGCTCGGACTTGCCGACCCCTTTACAGAAGCACAAGGAATCACCCAAAACACCCATTGGAAATGGGATCTTGTAGGTGAATTGGGAAATGGGTGTTTGAAATTATGGATCTAGAACAAGATATCGAAGTGGGAATTGCAGCATTTGAGCAAAAGGGGTAATGTAAAGACTACAAATGTGAAATTTGTCGCCATTTTTGTGTCACACAGAAAGAAAAGAGAAAGAGAAGTGTTGTATAAAGTGTTCGTAGAGAAGAACAGCGAAATGTTATATTTGTTATTTGAGCTGTGCCACTTGGAATGTCGGACCATCCATTCAAATCTCCACACCTTCACGTTTCTATTCGGAACTCCTAGACGTCTCAAGTGAATCGACATTTTAGACATAAACCGAAAACAAAGACTCATAAAATGACCCATTTAAATTTTCTTAATCTTCGTAATAATTCTTTTAAACGTCTATATATTTTTAAAGAAATTGAGAACATTTTCGAGACGAGACAAAAGACGTCTAAACGTCTAAAGTTGAGGGAGGGAGAGCATGAGATTTGTTAAGAGAGTGAGAGAGAAAGCGTGTGGGGCTTATAGTGTGTTTGTGCCCTAAAAAAAATTCTCACAAATTTTGGAGGGAAAAGTGTGGATTACGCATAGTGTCACCCACACTTTATCAAACTTAGTTAGGATCGTTACACGTGTCATATGCTTTAAATCCTTTATCCATGAAATTTTATTTTGAAATTTAAATAACAAAAATGTGGTCAAAATATTTGAATTCTCTAACTTTTAGTAATTGTTTAATGAAAAAATTTTGTATTAAAAAATTGAATTTCCAGTTAAATATTAATATTTTAAAATTGAAATGATTTCTGTCCAAGTATATACAATGATTCTTACCACCATACTCAAAGAAAGGCCAGTTCTTCCTTTCGCTTTCGAGAAGGGAGGATTAAGAAAATCCTATTGATTAGAGCTTTGTCCAAAACCTCCAAGAAAAACATGAAAAAAAGGCTCGAATGGTACGATCCCTCCATCACCCTAGAATGAAAGGGGCGATCTCGTAGTTCTTGGTATGTGAAGATACGTTGTTAAATGCTCCGTTTTATTTTCCCATTGAGGCCGAACCTAAACCTGTGCTCGAGAGATAGCTGTCCATATACTGATAAGGGATGTATGGATTCTCGAGAAGAGAGGAGCCAAGGTAAAAGCCTGTCAATAATATTGGCATGTGTGATGCTACGATAATATCAAACAAACCCTAGACGACCCAAAACGTCGCTAAAACAAAATTTAACTATCATTAACGGTATAACGACATAGACTTTAATTAATTATGTGTTCATAAATACCTTTCTTCAAGATCATCTTTTAGAAGCAAATCAAGACGAGTTTTTCATTTATGTCCGATAACCTAAAATCATGGCGATCATTTCAAAAGTTAGAAAATCTCAACCAAAAATAGGTAAGAAAATGTAGAGTAAAAGAAGCTCAAGATTCCACAAGAAAGTTAAAGAAAATGTGTATATGGAAGAAGCAACAGGACCTTGCTGGAACTATCATCTTCAACTTTTGCTCTTTTCTTCTTTCTGCTGCTAATTTCTTAATTTGGAAGAGAAATATCAGTTTATTGATAATGAAACACAAAGTAAACAGACCTATGAAATTAAACAGAGAAAAGGAAATTAAACATAAAGAACAAAATTGTCAACTATCAGAATTCTCTTCTTATTATATCATAATCCACACCATATGGTTATAATCTCTACTTGTATATTGAAGAATCCAAGAAACTTTGGATCCTTTCCTTCCTTGATATATGGGGAGATAAAAATGTTTCAAGGATCCTTTTTGTTTACTTGCCCAAGTACCCTCTGTGCGTAGAGCTGTTGCTCCCGAGCTTGTTTAGCGGCTAAAGCTTCCTCGTCCAGTACTTGGATCGGGGACCATTCGGGTAATTTCATCCAGCTACTACTTTCTTCGAGTATTGTTTCTTTGTAGCTTCTGAAAACAGGTTTTAGTTTGAGTGTGGCGTAATCTATTGCTGTCCCAGCGACGGTGAACATAATAGAGTATCGAACAGAGCCGAGCCGACCACCTGAAAAGAGAATATACGCTGTAGATTCATAATATTTCATCTCTACCCATTTGTGTACCCTATGAATCATCAAGTTCTAGTTCAACCTAAGCAAGGCTCTCCCTCATTCAACAGCATCAAATTATAAAAACATCCTTCTATCTTTTCCTTGACTCATTCTAAGTCCAAGATAAAAAAGACAGACTTGCTTCTGTACATGTGAGAGTGAGGGATGTGGAATTAATTAACCTTGAAGGCGTCCAAGAAGAGCTCCGGTCCCGAACCCTGCTATTGCAGAGTTCATAAGGTCGTCAGGTTCTGACCTTCGAGAAACTCTAACAAACTCGCGTGCTCCTGTTAAATGTATGAACTTAGTTATTTTTTTTTTCATTCAATATTCATCTTGTTGGAAACAAAACTGTTTTTTAATTGAATAAAACAAAAATTTCCATTGTTTCTGGAAGCACTACTCCAACTTTCTTTTAAGTTGGAAAAAGTCGTTCATTAGAAAATAACAGCACAAGCAGCAATAGCAGTAGCTATGAAAATAGAACAATCCTGGAAAAGAAATATACTGCCGGAAAAGGCTACGCCATAACCTTAACACTAGGCCGACAGTTGAAAGTCACAAATTCTGGCATAACTACGAAGATCAACTCTAAAAGGTCTAGAACAAAGTATTAAATAAACATAGCTAAACTCCACAGCTCAGAATTCCCAAAAAAACAGAGCCTGTTGTCCTTGTGAGCATAGTTCATGATGATGTTAAAAATGGAGAAGAAGTTGTTGATCTAGACTTGGGAGTCTGTGAGGAGTAAGTGCCAAACAAAAATTGGAAGGAAATAATAGGAAAATGAAGCTCTTTCACCTCTCTATCAATCTAAAGAAGAAATCTCATGGAAATTGAGAAGGAACTAAGAGTAATCGAACAATGGTTAAAAGAAGAATCCCGTCACAGTTTTGTGTTGATGTCTCGAGCTTCAGTGGTAGCTACGAGGCAGGAAAGTAGGACATCAAGGCTGTTTGACGACTACTAGTTTATTCCTCTTTGCTTACATCTCTCTGCCTTCGTCTGCCAATTAGTCTCTCAAAGGAACTCACCTCCCCATAATAACAGTATGGATACATAATGGCACACAATGGTGAGCCCCATGGTGAAAGTGCTCGTCATTGCTTCGAAGTGAACCCCATGCCGCCTTGCACCATAGGCGCACACCTAGGTGCACTTAGAGAAACTACTCGGAAATAGTAAATGGAATTCAAAGTTGATTACGATCATTTTGACAAAGTACATCGCTATATCAAGGGTTGCAAAAGCTACACCATCACATGCCAAAATCATTTCACTTGTTCAGGTCACTTGATAAAGGTTGAAATAATCCAAACCAATAATAAGCTCCTATAAATAGAATACCCAATGCAGGAAAGGTATGTATCATACAACGAGTGCCCAAATTTCTACCTCCTATGTTCCTCCCTAACTCTAATGAATCATCTCTTCCACAATGAGTTGATGACTTGACCATCGAAACAGACTTCTACAACTCACCACCACACCAATGTGAAACTATATAATTTCGATCCAAATGAAACTTTAAATTGTGATCCAACATCCACGTTGTCCATCATCAGAAAAATAATAAACCCTAAAGGACGGGCAATATAACAAGCTAAAAACATTTCCATTCTCATCGTTATTCGTGAACGCCCTAATCTTCTTAAATAAGCAGCAGACTACACAGTTTCCTAATTAAAGTAACATTCAACAAATCCAATTACAATAAAAGCTTTCATAAGCAAAATTTGGAGCATCAAGGAAAAAAAATTACCACAGTAGCAAGCAGCGACAATGGACAAATTCGTAGCATAAGTCGCAGAAATATTTGCCAGACCATGAACTTTCCGATGCTTGGACACTAGTCCGGCACCTCCCCCAACAAATCCTGCAGAAAAGAGAATATATAAAACATGGATGAATTTTTAGGTCGTTCTTGAGAGACACCGGAAACATACACAGACCTGCGAGAATAGTGGGGAAAATGATGCGTTCTTTCCAATCGCCATAGTTTGAAGAAGAAGAAAAAGAAGAAGAAGAAGAAGAAGAAAGGGGAGTGTCTGAATCTAGGGTTTTGGGACCGCCGGAATCCATAGCGGCTTCCGAGAGCATCCGACGCCAGATGCTACGATTGAAGAATTGAATAAAGTGTCACCGTCCGTTCATCAGCCTGGAATGAAAGTAACTGTACAATTATTTTTTTATTACTATTAAGATAAATATATATTCTTTTTTACTGAAATTATTTTACTTAATCTCTTCCCAAATTTTAAAATATTATATTTTTACCTTTTACCTTTCAAGATTTTACCTATTTACTCCTATGTTTTTTAACTAGCATCCCATGCTTCAAGTGCACCTCTATATCGATTAAATCACTCTTAACTTGTAAGTTTAGTTGGTTGAACCAGTAAACCATACGAGCTGGTTAGATGTGTGAAGCAGAGAGCACGTAGTATTCTCTTTTCTTGATCCGGCCTTTTCTTCAAGTCTAGTTGGTAGAACCGGTGAACCATGCGAGCTGGTTAGATGCATGGAGCAGAAAGCTCGTAGTATTTCCTTTTCTTGATCCAGCCTTTTCTTCAGTCTAGTCAGTAGAACCAGTGAACCACATGAGCTGATTAGATGTGTGGAGCAGAGTGTCACAATCGCACTTTGATGGCAACGGACTTGCGATTGTACGGCACTCATTTCCCAGCAACAAGTGAGTTAAACCGATTCGTTCTTGAGTCGCCTACGATCAAGCGATGTATGCTCGAGCCTTTTGCCCCGGTTCAAGAAGAAAGTTTTAGAAAATGGGGGCAGAGAGATTTTGAAAGAGAGTTTTGAAAGCAATATTTGAGAAATTGGAAATTGTGTTATATGGGAATGTAAGCAAAAAAGGCAACAACAATGGCTTACGGCATATAACTATTAGATAGGAAGGAGTTGACAACTAGTCATATCCTCCCATAGTACATTTTGAGGCATTTTAGCCCTTGCAGGTGTAGACACGATTTTGGTGAACGGTCATACACCCTCATATTAACCCAATATGGAATGATAAAGACCTATCTAGGATGCAACCATGGACAACACATCCTAAACAAGCAAGACCGAGATATCTGTCATGCAGCTATTGACAACACGTCTCGGACATGCATGACCGTGACACAAAGCACTCGTACTATTCCCTTTTCTTCACTTCAGTAGTAAAATCAGTGGTAAATGCTCGGCTATTAAGTCATGTTCAATTATAATATCGTTCGATTGTAATTTAGAAGTACTTTCAAAACGAGTCAAAAACTATCTTAAATATTTCACGAGACAAGCCACGAGCGTGATTTACTCTAATAAAAGAAAGCTCGTCTTAACACGAAACACGAGAAACTCTTACTCGGGTCATCCTCGAACATATGATTTTGAAAGAGACATAGAAGAAGGTGTAATGGAAATAATTACATAGATCTGTATCAGTTCCATATAGATTCAATAAGCAACATTGTTGGAGGCCTCAACACTAATATGCTTATTGGGCCAAAGCTATAAGAAATTGCCTAAAAACACATTTACTTGGGGCTATTCAACGGAGGTTCAACCAATTTGGCTAACCTCTTGGACCATTCTTGAGCTTAAGGCTAGCTCAGGTGATGGAACGGTTAACGTCTTCCCGCACAGGAAACCCGATGAACCTATGCTTGAACTCGGTGTCGTCGACCGACGAAGCTCCAGGCTTGGTTGGTGATCCTGCGCTGAGTCTCTTGTGCTCTGAAAGACATTAAACGAATCAAATGTAACGAGTGAAAAACCGAGAAAAAGGGAATTGAAGAGTTTGAGAGGAAAGCACGACGACTACTTTTGTTCGTAATTGCGTGGCGAGTCATTGCTAAGAAGTCTTCCCATTTGAACTTTTGGAGTTCTTGCTTCTCCTCCTCGGAGAGCTCGAAATTTGGTTCACGTCCACATACAAAAGCAGCTCTGCAAAACCAAGAGCCTAGTGAGCTTATGGTAGCTAATACGACCCGAAACAACTTGATAAGTAAATGAACTAAATGATATGCAGTACTACGACTCTCCACAATGGTATGATATTGTCCACTTTGAGCATAAGCTCTCGTGGTTTACTTTTGGTTTGCCCAAAAGGCCTCGTACGAATGAAGATGTATTCATTACTTATAAACCCATGATCAACCCCTTGACTAGCCGATGTGGGACTCCTCTCCTAACACTCCTCCCCTCGAACAAAGTACACCATAGAGCCTCCCCTGAGGCCTATGGAACCCTCGAACAACCTCCCCTTAATCGAGTCTCGACTCTTTCTCTGGAGCCCTCGAACAACTCGAACAAAGTACACCCTTTGTTCGACGCTTGAGTCACCTTTGACTATACTTTCGAGGTTCACAGAATTCTATTGACATGGCTAAGTTAAGGGCATGGCTCTGATACTATGTTAGGAATCACGAACCTTCACAACGGTATGATATTGGCCACTTTAAGCATAAGCTCTCATGGCTTTGCTTTCGGTTTCCCGAAAAGGTCTCATACCAATGGAGATGTATTCCTTACTTATAAACCCAAGATCAACCCCGTGATTAGCCGACGTGGGACTCCTCTCCCATATGTTGTTTATCGCTCGGAATGAATATTTTTAAAAAAATTAAATGAGCGATTTGAAAAACGAATACCTGTCGTACAAATGAGCAGCCTCTTCTTGGGAACCAAACGTCCCCAAATGGATCTGTTTCTTGTCGACTTTAATTGCAGCCTGCCATTTCATGTTCTTGAAGTAGACGCCCCTCATGATTGATAGCTCTTGATTATGAGAGTTCTTTCTCCTATGTCTCTTCCGATGTTTTAGTGGATGCCCTACAAACACAAGTCCATGTATTCTAGATGAAATGCACGAACTCGAACTCGAACATTGTGCACAATGATATAGGGGTGAGACTGAAAACAAGTGTCTTACGAGTGGTCGTGATTGATACAACCCAAAATATATTGCAATGTAAAAGATAATTCGAGGTACTTGGACCTTCCCTATCTTGTGATCACTCGAGCCCTAAACCGACTGAATCAGTAATATAACAGCCCAAGCCCACCACTAACAGATATTGTCCACTTTGGCCCCGTTACGTATCGCCAGCAGCCTCATGGTTTAAAAACGTGTATGCTAGGGAGAGATTTCCACACCCTTATAAGGAATGTTTCGTTCCCCTCTCCAACCAATGCGGGATCCCACAGTCTACCCCTCTTGGGAGCCTAGCATCCTCGCTGGCACATCACCCAGTGTCTGGCTCTGGTACCATTTATAGCAGCCTAAGTCCACCGTTAGCAGATACTATCCGCCTCACGGTTTTAAAACACGTTTGTTAGAGAGAGGTTTCCACATCCTTATAAGAAATGTTTCGTTCCGCTCTCCAACCAATGTGGGATCCCACAATCCACCCCTCTTGGGTGCCCAACATTCTCGCTAGCACATCACCCGGTGCCTGGCTTTGGTACCATTTATAACAACCCAAGTCCACCGCTAGCAGATACTATCCGCCTCACGGTTTTAAAACATGTTTGCTAGGGAGAGGTTTCCACACCCTTATAAGGAATGTTTCGTTCCCCTCTCCAACCAATGTGGGATCCCACAATCCACCCCTCTTGGGTGCCCAGCATTCTCGCTGGCACATCACTCGGTGTCTGGCTCTGGTACCATTTATAACAACCCAAGTCCACCGCTAGCAGATACTATCCGCCTCACGGTTTTAAAACGCGTTTGCTAGAAAGAGGTCTCCACACCCTTATAAGGAATATTTCGTTCCCCCTTTCCCACTCTCTCTATTTGTAACCAAATAACATAACTAACGCCCCAACTATTCACTAATATACCGTATAATATCCTAATTATCTTCTAATGGCCTTCCTATCAGTCACGATGTCGTTCCTCATGCCAACTGCAAATCGATATTGAACACGAAACCGACAGTGCCTTCGCTTACATCCAAAGTGTTCAAAACAGTGCAAAAATAAGCATCCTGATCAATACATACACTACTCTATATGTCAAAAGCAAGCCATAAACAACAACAAAGCTATGATCATCTGATAAACACATTTCATAATCAGATAACCTGAGATAGGCTGATTGGATTGTTCTTTCAGCGAGGTCAAATCCAATGCATTTGCAAAACTGGATTCCATATTTACAACAGAGCTCTGTAAGAAAAGACGACGTTCGGAAAACAACAGTCAGGTTATAAATCCACGTGCTCGAGAAGCAGATATAATGAACCAGAAAACGTAAACTCGATGCTAAATATCAGAATTTTACTCGACATACCTAAGTGGTCGATTTAGATGCAGATTTTTCATAGATCTTCATATGTTATGAACTAAGTGTGATGTCCCACGTTGGTTGGGAAGGAGAATAAACCACCATTTATAAGGGTGTGGAAACCTTCCCCTGGCAGACGCGTTTTAAAGTCTTGAGGGTAAAGCCCAAAGAGGATAATATCTACTAATGGTGGATTTGGGGCGTTACAAATGGTATCAGAGCTAGACACCAGACTATGTGTCAGCCTTCTCGTTGTTCCCCGAAGAGGGGGTAGACACGAGGCGGCGTGCTAGTAAGGGCACTGGGCCCCAAAGGGGGTGGATTTGGGGGCGGTCCCACATCGATGGGAGGAAGAAAAGAGTGCCAGCGAGGACGCTGGGCCCCGAAGGGGGGTGGATTGTGATGTCCCACATTAGTTGGGGAGGAGAACAAACCACCCTTTATAAGGGTGTGGAAACCTTCCCCTGACAGACGCGTTTTAAAGCCTTGAGGGGAAGCCCGAAAGGGAAAGCCCAAAGAGGACAATATCTGCTAGCAGTGGATCTGGGGCGTTATACTAAGATTCTCAAACCACTATCTCAAGTAACATGTAAAGAATGAAATGCAGAAATATTTCACCGACTTTTATCAGGAAAAACCAGGAAGCTTAACCAATGAAGTTATCTAGATCTAAATATCATTTCGAATGTCAACGTTCAGCAATGAAATCGGGAAAACTTAGTAGAAATCTAAAAACGAGACCGACTTGCTTACGAGATAACTTGTATAAATGTTAACACAATCATATGAACGTACCCTATCTGTGATGTGAACATCATCAGAAGACGTGGGATGCACGGTGACAAATTTGCTACTCGGACTAGGATTTTCG